TGCCTTGAATGCGTTTACGTTTTATCTTATTCTGCTTCCATTGGCAGGGTTTTTAGCACGTCCACGCGCTTTTTTTTTAATTTGCTGTGTTAGAATTTGATGAACTGGTCGACGAAGATAATGACTGATTAATAAGGTAGTTCCTATTTTTGCTTAGTGGTGTAGTGATACACCACTTCATCACTTACACTATCAATATTTACAGGAGACGTATAATAATTAAGATTATCCCTGATACAACGATTTAATACCTAAAAAATACATAAATGTAAGAATTACAATTGAAAGTTCTTGGAAGTTTTATAGTGCATAACATTTTTAATTACGATCCTTCTATTTTCAAGATTGAAATGGCGAACGCATTGCTTGCACTTGCGATTTGCTGATGACATCGTCATCATGGCAGAAACCCTGCAGGACCTACAACAAATGCTGAATGACCTGGCTGACTCTTCTATACGCATCGGCCTACGGATGAACTTGGATAAAACCAAGGTCATGTTTAATGAACATGTTCTACCAGAACCGATTGCAATACACGTTGCCGCTCTCGAAAATGTTCAAAAATATGTATACCTCGGGTAGACATTGCAGTTAAGTAGAAACAACTTTAGAAAACGAGGTGAATAGAAGATTTCAGCTAGGTTGGGCAGCATTTGGGAAGCTACGTCAAGTCCTGACATCGTCGTACCCACAGTGCCTAAAGACGAAAGACGTCCTACCTGTGATGACATACGGAGCCGAGACGTGAACAAGTTCAAAGTCGCTCAGCGCGCTATGGAAAGGGCTATGCTCGGCGTTTCTCTGAAGGCTCACATCAGAAATGAGGTAATCCGACAAAAAACCAGAGTCATCGACATAGCCCACCGGATTAGCAAGTTGAAGTGGCAGTGGGCTGGCCATATTTGCCGAAGAACCGATAACCGATAAATTCTGGATTGGAGACCGCGTCTAGGCAAACGTAGTGTAGGACGTCCTCAGGCACGATGGAGTGACGATTTGCGCAAGGTGGCTGGCAGGAGCTGGATGGGAGTAGCCCTAGATCGATCTGAGTGGCGTGCAATTGAAGGGGCCTATGTCCAGCAGTGGACTAGGATAGGTTGTTGATGATGATGATGCCGCGGGGGAGTGTTTTCAATTGCAGGTAAACACGCTTCTTCGGTTTCATTTATAGTCATGACTGTCATTGTGTCCAGAGTTATTATATTGTAAATAGTTTGCTTTATTTAAATTTTTTACATCAAAACTTGCCAAAGTATCGGGAGAAGATGTGTTTGAACATGAAGAGAGTGACCTCGAATATATAGATGACGAGCTACTTGAAGACGACAGATGACGTACACGAAATTCTTTATTATAACTTTCTGCTTCTGTAGTGAAGCATTGTGTCTGATCTTCATTATCTTATATGGTAATATCACTGTTATAGTAAGATACTAGACTTATGTTGGGTTGTTTTATTTCACGCTGTGAATTCTGTGATCAAAAATATTATATAATAAATAATACTAGAATCAATTTGCTGTTTTGTTCTTATTACTTACTTTGATATTTACGTACTGTATTTGACGACACGAGTTTACGACATTTAGTCGGATTGTACTTACTGTTAAAACCAATTATGCTTTATCAAAGTTAATCTTGTTCAGGGATAAGTGGAAATTAATAATTTTAAAGTTAAATGTACCCACTTAATTGTTAGTTAGATACGTAAGAGTATTAAATAAAGTCACCTCGAGATTAGAATCTTAACACAACTGTACTTTTAACAAATAAACCCAATATTCTTCGTGCCCTCGAAGCCATCTTAAAAGCTGAAACAGAATAATGTATAGTAGCTACTTTAAATTCTTAATAGGGTATAATTAACAATTATTAATTTAATTTTCGTTTAATAATTACGCATATATTTTTAACTTCTTTCATTAAAAAGGAAAATAACTCTCGAAGACACTTGCATTGTATTTAAGTAATAAATAATAAACTGAAACAAAACTAAACGTACTAAGTTTCTAAAAATTCAATACTATAATACTGAAACAATACTTATTTATCTAAAGCTTTTTTAAATAATTTAATAAAAAAGTGCATTAACTCGAAATGCTACAGAAATCGCACCTGAATATTTTATAGAGAACTGTAACAAATCCCAATGAACCTCTAAAAATATGAGCGTTTTTTCAATTAAGCAGATTTAAGTCTCAAGATATACACTTTTTTTTTATTTTTAACCACAAGAAATACTTACCTGATAGTATGACACCGCTATATTTAGAGTTATTACGTTTTTCCAAAAATCTTTAGAGACCTTACTGTCAACGAAGCCGGCGTAACACTGAATTCGATCACTTATTTAGTATCGACTTGTGCTAACCCGTTTGTAGAAAAGAGAACGATGGTCTTCTATCTCTTTCATTTTCATCGTATCGAAACGGCTGTTGAACTGAGCGCATTGACTCTAATTAGTTAGTTCACTTTATGCCGAAAACCCGATAAATGGAAATTTTGAGTTATTTCTTTTTTTGAATAAAGGTGCGATATATTATTAATATATTGAATATATTTATTGTAAATCCTATGTGGATAGATGAAACTTCCGAACACGGTGAAGAACCAGTGCAAAAATCGTATCCCGGTATTTTCGGGACTCCCGGAACTTTCGGGATTTTCGGGACTCTATATTTTTTTAGGATATTAATAGGTATTTTTAAGGAAGCTAATAATTATATTATTTTCTATGTATTACGAGTTGTTTTATAATTTCATCGTCATCAGTATTAGTTTAACTCTGCCTGTTGAGCATGGGCATCCCCAAATCTCCACAACCTAAAGTCCTGTGCTATTCGCATCCAGCGGCTTTCTGCAACCTGCACCAGATCGTGTGTCTAAATGACGGAGGGCATATTTTCTGAGCGTGTCTTCCGGTGCGCGGTTTCATTCCTCGTTAAGGAATTCAAAGTCCATTTCAGTTACCTACTTTAGTTTTTCTACGATTTTTTTTTCATTTCTGATTCTATTGCACAGGAACATACTGTGCATCGCGCCCTCCAATGTTTACTCTGCGACCTTGAGCCTTCCGTTTCGCTTCCATATACTGGCAACATCCACTATTAAATACTGAGGAAATTTAAAAGGGAAAATTTCTGCGTATCCGATCTGGATTCGACAAGAGATCCTGTATACATTATTGTGAACAAATTCGAGTGTGTTACCAATTTTAAGTGACGTGGATACAGCGTCATTGCATTCGACATGCTTTTTGTCTTATAAATGTGATCGTATCTTTTTGGAAGCACATATCTGCAAGTTGTGTTCAGATCTTCCGAGGTCTCAGACATAAGATCCACATTATTGGCGAAACAAGGCCGTGTGAGGAACTCACCATTAATTTTGATGCTTGTTTGCTACCCTTTTAATATTAAAAAAGCCACGTCCACAGATACGAGAATGTAAAATCCTTCCTGTCTTAAACCAGTTTGTAATTAGATAGGATTAGAGCTCTGATATTTTTGTAAAGATACCTTAACACCTGTTGTCTACTTATGACCTTTGGAGAGATTGAAGTATAGCATAGGTTTTAATAGAAACGAAAGACTTCCTCTAAGTCCACAAATGCCAGGCAATGCAGATTATACCCTTTAGTTTTTTGTATAACCTGCCACTGTGTATGAATGTGCTCTATCGTACTAACGCCTTTTCGGAACCCGGCATGTTTGGGGTTGGAAGTCGTGAAACCTAAGTACATCCAAACGTAAGTTATCACATAACAAATCCACAGCTGCATATGGAGAGAGCAGCGCCGAGAGTGTAGCGCATCACGCTACTCGGTAAATCTCTTAGGCCCTCTTCTCTTTGTTCACGGCCTGGCAAACACGAACTACAGATGAATCGGGAACCGTTAGCGCACGTGATTGTTAAATAGAGGGATTTAAGTCCCGGGCACTTTAGTTAATGCAGAATCCAGGGATTTTGGGACTGGGATTTCCGGAACCATTCCCTAGTGAAGACCAATCGTTCGCAAATAACGATCGATGGATAAATGTCAAAAAACCAACATCGCAAACAGAGCAATCATAAGCGTAAGAGTGATTTGCTGTGAACCGTACAACCCGTTTGTTTTTATTCCTGTGGTCCAGTTGCGGGCGTGCGATATGTCCGCTATGTATGCCAGCGGACGTTTGCGCTCACAAAAACAACTCGAAGCTATCTTCATAGAAACGCCAACGCTGTACGTGTTCAGGGTTGACAGGCTCTTATTCTTACTTAGAATCTCGTACTAATTCCGAGATTATTTCAAACGAGAATGTGTGGTTGAGGCAATTACACTATGAAATAAAATAAAGGGCAGTGAAAGTATGCGAGCATTTGTAAATTTACTTGTAACTTTATCAGCTTTGTTTGTTCTGGTTTATGAATCACTTGGATTCTTGAGACTATTTCCTTTGTCAAATATTTGTTTATCATTTTGTAAATGCTTTACCTATTTTCGAAAACACATACAACAATATCGTAAATCACCAGCATCAGTCTGCGTACAGGCAACACACATGGAAGGAACCGTTCGGTCGGGCTCACAGATAACCCAGTGCACTCTTTTTAATATGGCGTCCGACGCCGGTTTCAAATGGAACGGATACCGCGAATGTTGCGCGACAAACAAAAAGTCGCGAGAGCGCAATCCGGCCGGTGCGCGCACGCGGTGGCTAACAACGATATTTTACCCGGTTCGAATGCCGATTGCCGACCTCGGCAAGGACGGACGGTTTCAATTCTGCTTATTCAACGCTGGCTGTTCTAGGTCGTGTTTTTGTCGCGAACGGAGCTTAGCAGCGATGCGCTTAGAAATACATACTCTTATTTTGTGTAGTAATTGTAACTGACAGTCGTAGTGCTTGTTTTTCTTTTATTCATCTTTTATTCTCTAATGTACGCGTTGGATTATTTGACCTTGTATCTGATACAAATGAGGTTTATAATTAATTTATAAGTAAGGCACTTACATTGGCTAATGCTAATAATAAGCACACGACCGACGTCCGTGCTATATGTGATGCTATATCCGATGCCATTTTGGACCTGTAACAAGAAGAAACGAAAGTTTTAGTAAACATACACAGCTATCAAATACTGGCATACAGTTGAACTATGATGGATGTCAAGGAAACGGCGGACGCTGGTGGTAGTGATGACCGCAAAATAACATAAATAAAGTAAAAAAAAGCGCAAAAAGAAAAACATGCAGGAATGGAAGGATACGTATAAGTACGGATAAGTAGAACAACGCTATATGTTTATGTGAGCTTTTGATTTCATCACATACTTTTGTAAACTTTATTGTATTTTTAATTTACCTAGTATTTATATTTTTATGTAGATGACTGTATACGTTTAATTTTAATGTTTGAATCAGCATAGCTGATTTAAAGCTCCCTATGTTGTTACAGCTTAGTTGAATAACGCTGTACGACATGTTCTACACAGCATTGTTCTACGAAATTAGATTTCAAAATTTGTCTACAATGACTCTATTAATTTTCTAAATATTCCTCAACTACTCTGCAAAAGTTGCTAATGACTATAGCCATGTTTTTTCACAATAAAACATTGTTGGAGCAAATTTGTGACGATATTTTATTATTTTTCATAACTGCAAATTGCTACACACAGCTTTGTTCGAGCACACGCCTCAATTAAAACATACATTTTAGGGAGTCTCAATATTGTTGAGATACTTTTTTATAAAACCAATCGAAAGATTAATTTCCTTGCCGACGAATTAACTTTTAATTTATTCATACGAAGAAGATACAATTTCTCAGAATATTAATATTTATGTTTAATCTTATAATAATTAATACTATGCTAATGACGTTCGTATCAATCTGCGTGTATTTATAACATAACTCGCAATTTCTAACCGGACACGCATAGTTCACGGGCTGAAGACTACTGCCATTTACATAAGTGAAAATATTCCGAGTCTATTTGAACGGTGAACTGGTCCTCTGTGTTATTTACTTTTCCGATATACGATCACGGTCAACATCGTTACGATCCAGTATCACAGATATTGCTCATTTCGCATTTTCCTGCCAAGTTTACAATATGTAAGGCAATCAGTCGGAGACAACCTATAATCCGTCCATCTGTATAGCAGATCGCTATTATTATTGTAGACCAGGATATCCACTACACATTATCCCATCAAACTACCGATGGAGAATTTGCTATATATACCTATTTCATATAACGATGTATTTTCATTTTTTTTTGTAATAGGTAAAAAATGTTAAACTCGCGTCAGGACACGTGGCCTGATCGAAAATTCGTAAGACGAAAATAATAGAATTTTAAAGGTTGTTGACTTTCAATATATTGCACGAAACATAGTAATATTATATTTTATCGTATTATAATAATAAGTCTCATACTAGGACGTCAATGTGGCAGCTTTATTTCGAAAAAATGCATTTTTTACAATAGATGTCGCTAGGTGCGCTTAAATGATAGCGCAATAAATAAATATTGTATTCTGCCACATAAATGATAGTACTTTTATACTGATAATTAACGCAATTCGTCCAAAATTATTCCCTAACCATTCCAAAGTATCAAAAATGTACAACATTAATATTCATGTTTTCACTTCTGCCGGCACTCCCGCAGTGCAACCCGTATTTTTTTTTAACAAAATTGTGGTAAGGTACCCTTAAGAGACTGTTGATGCGGAAAACTCAGGACCATGGTGGGTAAAAATCCTTAGAGAAAACTCATATCCAACAATAGACGTCCATCGGCTGATGATGATGAAGCAAGACTTTGTCAATCTGCTTAAAAGCGGCCACTATCGTCTGTAGACTCACTTGCCAGGATTTATCACTTGCCAGGGTCAAGGTAAGTAACGTTACTTACCCAGACCCAATCCCCTACCTTGTAGAAGCATAGAAACTTAACTTTAAGTCAGAAATACGACATTAAAGAATAGTGATAACAGTGATATAGGTACGTGTAACATATATTTAAGGTATAATATATCTACGAGCAAACCGCGCGTGCAGGTTTTTGATATATCCGCCAGGCTGACTAATGACTTTTAGAATTAAATCTAGAAATAGACTGGACCGGTACCTACGCCTAGGCTGTATGTATGTACCATTTTCATACACGTCAATTTTAGCGATTTACAACGCTTTTAGTGAGAGCACAGATCACGGTATCGATTTTGTATTAATTTTCACTTTATCCGTAAGCCTTTTGGGCATTGTGTTGTGTACCAGTATACCAGAGTATACCATTCGATTTCGATAGATTATTCGTTACTTCTATATAACTTTGAGAGGATCAATAATATTTTTAGTGCTCCGTACCTCAAAGGTACTACGACTGCGGAGCCCTAAAATATGGTAGGCCTAGAATCCTTATCCCAGACGTAAACAAAAAATCACAATCATCAAAAGGTAGTATATTTTACTGCTATCTACTATCTTAAATAAAATTAAATGTATTCTATAAGATGGAGGGTGTTTTCCAGACAGGCGCCCCAATTCGAGCCAAGAATCCGGTATGCCCTACCTATCTATATTGAAAAGATTTGATGATAGATGTTGCTCAGCTTTGCTGCATCATCGTAAGTTGCATTCCGTACATATAATGAGCTGCAAAATTTCACTTCATAAATAATAATTGTCGTGTTGAGCAAATTACGAATGTGTGTCATAAAACGGAGAACGGTACGCGATTATTTTGCTCTCGAACGAAAGTGCGACATTATGTCTGCGCGCACGCGTGACGTGAATGCACCGCATGATCGGTCCCACTGATTTCCCCCAATGGGAAAAAAGTTTTAATAACAACTCAAATATAATACAGAATGACGGGCGAGATATCGTTATTGGAATGCGCGGCGCGATTTGGAGCTAATAAGCAAAAACAAAAGAAGGTTAATTTTGATAACATACAGGGATACTTGCGCCTAATCAATTTAAAAATATATCATGTTAACACCACATCTTTATATATATAATTCTTCTGTGAGTGTGTATGTCACTGAACTTCTCTTAAACGACTGGACCGATTTTGATGAAATTTTTTGTGTGTGTTCAAGGGGATCTGAGAATGGTTTAGATTCGCAATTTTGTCCGCTGGACAACCCCTATTTTTTTAGGGCGGTACGAAGTTTGCTGGGTCAGCTAGTCCTTATCCTTACTAATATTATAAAGGCGAAAGTTTGTTTGGATGGATGTATGGATGGATGTTTGTTCCTCTTTCACGCAAAAACTACTAAACGGATTTTAATGAAACTTTACAGTAATGTAGCTTATAGATCAGAATAACACATAGGCTACTTTTATCCCGAAAAAAATGTTAGGTTCCAGAGGGATTTCCAAGAAACTTAGTTAACGCAGACGAAGTCGCGGGCGACCTCTAGTTCTATATATAATTGACTTTGAACAATTGACAAAGATGAAACAGAAGTGCAGCCAGCTACATGAATCAAGTGGCAAGGTAGTCAAATACATGTTAGGAGCAAAGGTTAAATTATATACTTGCATCTTTTGTCATCTAAATATTGTACACAACCAACCAGTCTTATATTTCTTCAGATTAAAAGTGCCCAATTACATATTCACTATTACAAAGATCTTTTATATGTACGCTTCGTAAGTGGTTCATTGGTATTTAAGCGTCTAGAGTACTCATTATATCTTCACTTACATATAATAGATTATTAATTTCCAATATCTAGGAAGATAGAGATCGTAGCTTAGATATCAACTGGGAAAAGATGGACTGACTCAAAGTGACAGATCGATTATTAAGGGCCATACAACCAAAAGTATGGCCTTTAATAACAAATTTCTTCCCCAATCTCTACGATCACGATCATAGTTTACGTACGATTAAAAAATCCTGACCTAAGTAAGCACGGACTAAATTTATATTTTTTAAAAAAAGACACGTCAGTAACATCATGCATGAAATGAAAGCCTGTAAATAAATTAAGAACCGTATTATCCCAGATTAGCGTTTACTTTCTTTAACTACCAAGATATTTTTGATAACTTTGAGTGCTTAGGTACCATTGATAATACGTACGGTGCCAATAGTTAATATGGAATATGCATATAATAGGGATGATGACTAATTTTTTTTCTTCGTTTATCAGGTAGATTATCAAAAAGTATAGGACACGTATTTTTTCTTTTTTTCACATAATATAAACATTACAGAGATATATTGATTTGAAAAGTCGAATGACGTCACGTTTGAGTACACTTATAAGTGAAAATTCACTCAAAAGTGATGTCACGAGCCCCTACTCCCAAACTTTGACGCGCTATAATTTTGTCATTTTTTGGTTGATTGCCCAAAGAAAAAATACGTGTCCATTATTTTTTGATCATCTAACTGACGGATTTAATAGAATTTCTTTCACTTTACCCCGTCATCACCCCTATTAGTTAGCCTAACATATTACATTTTATTGAAATTTTGTTGTTTAGATAAAAAGCACTACGGACTTACTTCGTAGGTTTTCAGATCAAATCAATAAATATTTGGACGAAAAATTGCATGTTTTTGTAGATTTTTTCCGCGCTTTCGACCCGCTTAACCATCAAAAGCTTATTGCTAAGTTAGAAAGTACCGGAATCAGGGCTGCGTTACTAGATTGGTGCAGAGACTATCTTAAAGACCAAATCTATAACGTTAGAGTATGTGAACATCTAAGCGAGTCCGTACCTATTGAGATAGGTACGGCTCAAGGGTCGGTGATAGGTCCACTGCACTTTCTGGCGTATCTGAACGACATGTGTAACATCTTTGAACACTGTACTCGTAAGCAATATGCAGATGACACCTGCATTATATCTGCTGCAAAAGACTCCTATTAAGCACTTATGAATTTACAGACAGACACTGACAATTTAAATAAGTGGTGTCATGACTCAGGGCTTGTGCTAAACGCAACAAAAACTAAATTAATTCACATAAGATCACCGTATATGAGAGAAAAAAGCATATCTAAAAATCTTGTTGCTCATAATCACAAATGTCTGCACAATTTAAAATTTCAG